TTTTAAAAAAATACAGACATCTGGACAGAAGAAAAAATTGATTCTCAGCAACTGACAGTTCCTAAAAAAGCAAAGTTGGATGTTCGCTCATTTCAGCCTTCTTGGACAAACCAATAGGGTTTTGTTCAACATAAAGACCATGCTGTTTGCGCTCTATGTTGTGAGCGTTTGCTGCATATCAAGTGTCCGGCGACATCTGCAGACAAAGCATGAGAAACACTTCAAGGATGAGGCGGACAAGGCTGAGTCAATCAAATGGGCCATTGAGATACGAAAAGCAAAGCATGGGCAGGTTAAGCCCTGCTCAAGGAAATGGACAGTGAATACAAGGACATTCCGCTTCACTGTAATGTTCGTTGGTTAAGCCATGAGAAGGTCTTGACACGCTTTGTGGACTGTCTTGATACACTCAAGATCTTTTTGTCAGAAAAAGGTCAAAACTACCCCAAACTGGATGATGACAAATGGCTCATGCAACTGATGTTTCTAACTGACATCACGGCACAGCTAAATTAACTCAATCTCCATCTGCAGGGTGCAGGCTATACTATTATGGATGTTTTTGAAACATGAAATGCATTTGTTGCAAAATGTTTTTTTCCTCAGGTCATTGACAGCTCAGCTGTCCAATATTCCAACATTTTAAAGAAGTATTGAAACATCGCACCATCAGGGTTGTTGAAATTAAAATGTACATGAAAGAACACGCATCAGAATTTTCTGTCAGTTTTCAAGATTCCCATGTTCTGGCCTGATGTTTTCCTTTCTAATGATACCAGACCATTTTTCTGCTAGTGACATGGATTCAGCAGTGTTTCAGTGGATGGGTGTTGAGGATTTGGAAATCCAGTTAATTGAATTGTAATGCTTATGGACCTCGACATTTAGGGATCTGTATCACATACTTGAGGCTACCGAGACAGATAATGGGGTCTCTATCATGGCCTGTTGAAAATCCCTGTCTGTGAAATCTGACTGCTTGAAGAAAGTGCTGTTTTCACTGCTCTCAGCCTTTGGCTCTACATACCTCTGTGAATAGATATTTTCACATATGAAGACTGTTCTTTGTTCATCTCAGAGCTGGTTAAAGACTGAACACTCAGAGGCTTGTGTGCTGCTTGAAGTATCAAAATACGAGCCTGAGATTGAAGAAGTCAGCAAGGCCAAAGATCAAACTAAAAGGTAAGATCTGCATCTTAATTTATTTATTAATGATGCTGCTGTAAGTAGGACTATTAATGACTTTAAAAAGTATCACCGGCACTTGGACCCATACTTAGAGATGAATACGTGAAATCTCAGCACTCTACCTCTGAAAGGTTGCTGACCCTTGTTCTAGACAAAGGGCGTCAAAGATCTAACAGTGCTATTTTAATTAAGATTGGAGAGCAAAGAGAGATTACCCAAGACTCCCAACACGTCCTCCAAAAAAGACAAAGAACTTAATTTATTTATAACTTGCAAAGTAAAAAACAGAGGGAATGCTCCCCAGATAAAATCAAAAAGCATTTGTGCCCTTCTTTATACAAGCAAAAAAGGGTTCCAAACCCCAAGCCCTTTTTCCCTCCAAACATATCCTATGGTGGGTCACTTATTTTTAACCTCTTTGGGTTCCTTAATGTACAGCAATTTGGAGCCATTTTTTGTCAAGTGAAACAAAGTGATCAGAAATCTCATCAATGGCAGGACTGGTCACTGTCTTTAATTTTGCTCACAACAGCTGTTTTAGGAGGTCCGGTCATGATTGCTTTAAGCATATAATTTCAAGGCACTCACCCTGCTACAGTCAAAAGTTAATGATTTGACAATCCCATGCTAGAAAACTGTCTGACTTAACTTTTAAAAGTGTTTTGTTTCATTCTCCCGAGGCTTAGAGCCTGACAATACCACACACCATCAACTGTCCTTGAAGTCAGCGAAACTGGGAACATGCACCAGCTAACAACTTAAGCACTTTGCTATGACCTTTCCTCAGACCTGTAGTGCGGAATCTCTGAACCTTAGCCACTTACTCTCATTCTTATGAGCTCTCTTATTTCCCATACAGAACCTATTCCTGTTACACGTGGTTGTTTTCTCCAGCAACCATTGTACTTCACCATGGAAATAAAATGCACTCTGGCCTTGTTTTTTATTAGGAATATAGGTAAGCATAATGAGCTAGACTGAGAAAACAGCCCTGGTTTCTGGACATTATGCACCCAAGATTTGAAAGCCACATGCTTGGAAGTGTAAAGCTGTTACGTTTTGTAAAAGAAAAAGCCCTTTTTCCTCTTGATACATACTCTCCTGCTGTAACTCTTGCCTCTCAGAAATCAAAAAAAGGGATCAACCAGATTAAGCTTCTTTACAATGTAAGCTTATATATAAAAACTTGGGTGCAAAAAGCACAAAATATCATGTATGCAAAATTCTAAAATGACAGTTTTTAAAAAGAAACAAAACTTTGATACAGTTGAACTGAGCTTCAATGAGATATATATATATATATATATATATGCATATATAAATACAAATCAACATTTGTATACACTTAAAATACTTTTACTCAGTATCAGTTTTTATTTAAAACATGCTAAAAATGTGTCGTTAAATAATCAAAGCAATGTTTTGAAAAATGCACAGACAGCCATCCACCAATGCAAGCAAAAAAGTGCATTTTTAAACACGATTTATATCCCTTTCAATAAACAGTTAAAGGACAATTAGTATCTTCTCTGATATATACCCACAGATACAATCTAATGATTTTTTTTATGGCTGGCTTTTGTCACCTTAAGAACAGTATTGCTTTTTCTTTGTTTTCAAAACATAGGTTTTCCATTACATAGTTTGATACTCAGCTACTGTGCTATAATGCTAATTGTCTACTTAATTTGCTTAATTCCCTTTCCATAGTCAGCTAAAGTGAGACTTGACAATACTGTTTGTGTAATTATCTCTGTTAATACTGTACTTAAAATGCAAAAAGAATTCATGAAAAAAGAAATTTTCAATAGCAGATCATAAAACATAATCGAGTAATTCTACAAAAATATGTGTTAAGGGAAGGCAAAATAGCTTAATTTTCACTATGTATTTTGCCTTCACAGTTACTTGTATATATTCACTTTGATTTGATTTTTTTTTTTTTTTACAAAAACCAACCACAGATTAAAATTTAAGATTTCAACAGGTACCACTATGCGACTTTAGAAGGATTAACATCTGGCCTTGCTTATTTTTCCACCCATCTGTGTTTGTCTGAGAGAGAAAACATTGGTATTTTACAAGAGAAAGAGAAACAACCCTACCATAAAAAGTAGAGTTATTAATTAAAAATACACATTTTTTAAAATGTAAAAATTCAAAACCTGTCTTTTTTAGAAACTTTGGAGAGTATTTTATGCATAGCAGCTAATATGCTCAGTGCCAGAGCTCCCATTCTTGACACACAATGTTTCAAACAGAGCTCAGACACACATGGTCCCAATTTTAGTTACAATTAAAGTAAACCAGGTTTTTTTGCCTTTTTTATTTTCCCCCTTTTCATTCCTCAAGTCTTTGAAAGGAAATATGAATGAAACATCAGTCACCAATATGGCCAGTGGAAGAATATATACAACCAAACAGCTATTTCAGAAGGATTGTATAATCCTGCACCAATAACATGTGCATTAGAGCCAACTTTTTCAACCTTGAATGCCTAAAATTAAAAACCTAATTCTGCAGTCTAGGCATGTAAAAATATGTGGCTTGATTTTTCAAAAAGGTTGAGCCCCTGTAGTGTGTCTGACTTCTGTGCACACTGTAGGTAGGAGCTCAACCACTCTGAAAGTTACCTAAATATATGACCTGCCTAAATATCAATGCAGTTGCCTTTTGGTAGGCATCCAAATTTGAAAATGGTAGACTAGAGTCTCAGAGCCTAATTCTCACTTACATTAATGCCCCTTTATCTCTTTACACTTCAACAGCTAGCTGAGCCCAGTGGGTAATAAATTAGTAGCTTTAAAATGTATTTTTTAAATGACCAGTCTAAATATTCAATTTTATGGTAAACTTCTGACTACAATAAAACGAGTATCCACAAAATAACTGAAGTTTCATTTTAATTCATATTTTCCTTTGTGAAGCAGCAAAATATAAGAAAGACCTCTGCCAAAAATGTAACAAAAGATAAGCAGGGGCCACTATGAAAGAAGCAGCATTCAAACTAGACAGGAATATGTTCAA